ACACACACTTCTTTTGGAAGACGTGGTACCAAACAAAATTTATAATGGACCCCAAACACAACACAAAAGGGCAGCAAATACAACTGTTTGGCTCTCCCCGTTTTTCTGATTGTAAACATCCGAGCGTTCTAGAAATGAGGTTCTCCTCCTTCCTCTGCCAGCCCCCTTGCCCTCTCTTGCTAATAGTTGGCTGGATTTTTATTTCCTAGGAAACCACCTCCAAAAGCAGATACTCAGCCCAGCGACGTGGACCTGCAGAGAAGATTTCAACAAAAGTGGACTCGGTGAGCCGCAGCCACCTGTAGGCCACCAGGGGCTCCCTGAGAGCTTCAAGTGCTTAAAATAGTGACCACTCGGTGGCATTTACCTTTTTGCCTTTGGGCTTGAGGCAAAGGGAGAATCCCCAGGCCCACTGGGGACTCCATCTTGGGTGGACGCCATTGGGTTCATGAAGCCAAGAGAAGGGTGGAGCGCCCCGGGCTTCAGGGCCGTGGGGGACATAATGACCTCTTGGCGTAGGAGACCTCCGAACTTGCGCTTCACCAGATGGAAGAGCGGACAGTTAGAACCAACACTGGCCATCAGAACCTACAAGATGGTTGGAAGCACAAGTGCCGAAGACTCCTTGGACCCCACCGATGACGTCATCGGGGTGGAGCAAGGTCTGGGGTAGAAGGAAGCGCAATTCATAGCAGTGGAGGGGTCACACACACGGACCTGGTCTTCTTGGGGTGGCGCTCCCTCTACTGAAGCAGTGACCCCAGTCCGAGAAGGTGACCCAAGGGCATGCACCTCACCCGGGTTGGAGGGGACATGCCATGGGTGACATGTGATGACTAACACAGTAGAACCCAAAACAGAACAAGTACAGAGCATGCCCTCTGGAGAGGACCCTACTTTGGGTCTGTCTTCCCTAGGGATAGACAACAAAAGTAGCCCTTTCAATTTCTGCAGGAGTCACCAAAGGTCAAGGTTATGCCCTTTGTCTTGTTCTTTTTCCTCCTGGGTAGGATGCTGTTGTGACAGCTGCAGCTAAAGCAGCCACCTTGGGGCAGGAGGTTATGACATCAAGTGCTCCAGAACAAGAAATGTGAAGAATCCCAGGTCCCTGAGCCAGAGCCACGGTGCCACCCACCTGGCCTATGCTATTAAGAGAAATAAAGTATTATATTAAAACTACTGTTCTTTTGAGGTTTTCTCCTCCTCTAGCCAAATCAAATCTCATTAATATGCTTCCCATGTGGGTGAACTTGGACAAACTGCTTACCCTCTCAGCCGTGTTTTCCTGTTTTGTCAAAATTGGTCTAATAGTTGTAATAGCAAGAGGGAGCACACCCACGTCTCCAGTATTCGGGCACTGCTGGAATTATCAAGGTATACTATGCAACTATCAGGAGAATTGAGGAGTTAGTCCAGTAGACTCCAGCATATTATCATTAAATAAAAAAAAAAAAACAATGAAGGAAAATCCTCAGTTTAAAGCATATACATCTATCTGCTTTATTTTTAAAAATTATTTGGGGGGGAGGATACTAGGGATTGAACTGAGGAGCAAAACAGGGTCTCACTGAGTTGCTTAGGGCCTTTCTGTTGCTGAGGCTGGCTTTGAACTCTAAATTGTCCTGCCTCAGCCTCCTGAGCTTCTGGGATACAGGCATGCCCCACCACGCCCGATTCGGCTTTATTTTTAAAAATGAGTGTTCACAAAGACTTAAAAAATGGTCACCCCTGGGAAAGAACTGGGACCAAAGCTCTGCTTCTTCAAGTGTTCCCAGAGTATAGATTTGATTTCAGTATTTACAGAATTATAAATCAGAAGCAATTCCTATAAGTCAAGAAGCAAAATGAGGGGCTAGGGGTGTAGCCCAGTAGAAGAGCACCTGCCTAGCACGAGTGAGACTGGGTTCCATCCTCACAAAAAAAGAACAAGGGCTGGGGAGGCTGAGGCAGGAGGATCGCAAATTCCAAGCCAGACTTAGCAACTTAGCAAGGCCCTATCTCTAAACATAAAAGGAGGCTGGAGATATGGCTCAATGGTTAAGTGTCCTTGATACAAAAAAAATATAATTAAAAAATAAAGCAAAACAAAAATAAACCCATGCATCCAGTTGGTAGCACAATCACACAGAGAACTATTTTGAGTGAGTTTAAGACAAAAATAAATCGATTGTATAATCTCTTGTGGATTTACCCTAAGGACAGAAAGAAGTGTAAAACATTTTAAAGTGTTTTCAGTAATCCTATCCTTGGTGATGGTGTCAATATTGTTATTCTGAGTCTGTCCTGTTGTGAGATAAAGAAAAAAGAAATGTTGGTATTGACCACTGGGATTTTCAACGTGGAGGAAAGGAGATGGAAATACAGGATTGATGAGATAAAAAATTATGTCATAGTTGAAATTAGAAATAGCATTATGAGAACAGAGGGTGGGGCTCAGTGGTTGAGCACTTCCTAGCATGTGTGAGGTCCTGGCTTCCATCCCTAGCACCACAAAAGCTCCAAAAGGAATATCACTGAATTTGTGATATA